ATCTATCCTCGTACCTACAGGGGTACGGCAGTGGGTGAATAAGACTCAAGAGAAGAACAGTCTGCTTCTCCTGTCAGAAACACAGTCTTGATGCCAGCATGTGTGGGATCCCCCTGCGCAAATTTGAGAGTGGAGTTTTGCCAAAAAAGCCTGGTAAAATATCACTGCTGTGAACCGCAGTTCACAAACACATGGGGCAAAGAATGATCTGCATCTGGGAAAAAGGGGTTTTGCCCCTCTGATTTCTTGCTCCTACAGAAGAGCTGTGGCTGAAAATGAGGAGTCCTTCCAGCCACCTTTCCTTGTTCTTCAAATATCTTGGGTAGTGTAAATCTTGCTGTCTGGTCAATGATGGGGGGAAAGTGCAATTTAGTACATGGCTCAGTGGGGGTGACTTGCTCCTTTGAAAACTGGTTAGCGTCCCAATGCTGGTGCTGGACCAGCAAGAGCATTTTTTAATGTTTTGATGTGAAAAGGAGAGCTGTTTCTTGTCAAACGCAGCTCTCTTCAGTGAAGTCCTAGTGCCGATGGCATTTCTCAGTTTTATGTGTGGTGGCGGATGGGGAAAATAAGAGGAATAGATAAAGCCCACCTTTGTGATCAGCCTTCCCCTGCCCTCTTGTTCTCTTTAGTGCTGCAGGCTCCATTTCTTTGTATACTGCATGGTAGGACATCTCATGGGTGTTGTTTTTTCCTCCCCACAAAAATCTCATTTGTTTCCCCTTTTAACATGCACTTTTTGGCCTAATCACTGCATATGTTACACTAACACCACCCCTTATCTTTGTGGTGGAAAACGTGTTATCTATGCTGCTGAGAAGTCTTCATAAAGAGCAAGATGGACTATGCTTTTTGCTTGCAAGAGATCCCCTTTTTCTCTTCCCTCCTCCAAATAAGTGGATTTCATACATACTTAGCACTGGTATGGCATGAGGTGTTACATGCATCATCTTTGATCTCTGCAAGAGGAAAAAAAAAAAAGAAACAGGGATCAGAACCTTTTGAGTCAACATCCTTCTAGTTTCCCCGTCTTTTGCTCCCACCATGCAGAGCTGGAGTCTTATGAGTTCTGCACCAGAAAACTGCTCTCTCAGTCTGTATAGAGACTCCATCTGTATAGATCAGTGGGTACCACTTAAATTCAGTTGTGAGGAAAAGGCATGTCAACATATCGCCAGTAAAATATTTCACCTGTTGTCATTTATCTGTATTTACTCTGGTGAGTTTTGCACATAATTTGTTTAATTATATAAGTGTAGGTTTTCCAAAGGAACTGAAATTTGCTAAGATATAGCAACTATAGCAACTCTTTAACTATAAAGGTAATTTTATTACTATTTTTTTCCCTAAGCAAATTTAAAACAGATATTGAATGCTATTATTAATGTGCTTATATATTTTTTTTATTTTATACTATTATGTAGAGTTCTGAAATAGTTATTTAATACATTTTAATTATGTCTAACTAAAATAAAATTTTATTGGATATAGGAGCTGTATTAAACCAACACAAAATGATTTATTTGCTAATTAATTTTTATTGTATTAGCAAGAACATAATTTAATATCCAGTGTTGTATAGCTAAACCAACTTACTGAAGCACTTGAGAGGCTTTTGATCAGAGGATCAAAATATGCCAGGTAACTCTGCAAAATATATAGCTTTAACAAATGGGATATTCTTTTGGGACAGATATAGGTTGATACAGTTAGAGAATTAGCTAACTAAGGCACTTAAGTCTCACAAGCAGTATCTCAGCTGGCTCTCTATTATATGGTAGTTAATTGGCATGGCACACGAATGTCACCTGTATTTCACTGCATGTGGGAAGCTGCTGGGTATCTGGTAGTGTACTTGGACCTGCTGTACTGGGATCCGATCATGGCTGTAGATCTGGCATGTCCTGAAATGCTCACTTCTCTCCCCAGAAAAAAAAGGAGGGGACACTCACCAGTCTCACACGTCACTCCTTTCCAGCCAACGTCACATTCACAGGAGCCGTCCCCGTCGATCCCACTGCTGCATTTCCCGTGGACACAAGCGCACGCTGTGGGGAGAGATGGGAGGACACCGCTGTCCCTGGGCAGGGCAGCAGGGTGCACAGCAAGGCAGCGAGGGGAAGGAAGGGCAGGAGGGTGGCCCAGATGTCTTCTCTTGATGGCACCTTCTGCTCTAGGCTATTTCCAGAAATGCTTTGACTTGCGCCTATTGGCTTCTTTCTACAGAATAAATCTAAATTCAAAATACGCTTATCTTTTCTCTGTTCCCAAATAAAGGGACTGAAACTGTATTTTAATGGGAAAGGATTGGTGAAAAAGAAGTGCTAAAGAGGATTATTCTCGCCCGATGCTGTTCTAGCCTGTAGCGTGCCAGAGTAGGAAGCACCGTCTCCAAACGACGGAGTAGAGAGAAAATACCATAATGGGGAAAGAAAAGGGGTTAATGATGTTTTTGAGACTGGCCTATTGCCCTGAAAGTGATGTACCTTTCCAGGATCTAGAATGGACATTGTTAGAAGATCTAAGGGGAAGGTTTTGACATCTGACAAGGCTAGCGAAGGTGCCTGTGTGGTTTGGGGATGCTCAGTACCTTGATCACAGTTGCGGCCGTATTTGCCTTCGATGCAGCTTTCGCAGGCTGTGCCGACAAACCCCTCTCCGCACTCGCAGGTGCCCGTGCCATTGATGCCATCCAGGCAGATGCCGTTTCCGAAGCAGGCGTTCCCTGCTTTCCCCGGGCAGGGCTGGCACTGCTGCCCAAAGAAACCTGCGCAGCACTCCCTGGTCTGGAAACCAAGAAATGCCATGCTGAGGGCCAGGATTAAGGTAGCAAGCATGGCAGCACACACATGGCCACTGGGTATCGTCTGTTGGGACTGCTGCTGGGTGGAGGGGAACTATAGATATTGATTTTCCAGCTCTGGAGCCCTCGGGAGCCCGCGGGAAAGACATGGACCTGTTGGGGCGGGTCCAGAGGAGGGCCACGAAAATGATCAGAGGGGTGGAACACCTCTCCTATGAAGAAAGGCTGAGAGAGTTGGGGCTGTTCAGCCTGGAGAAGAGAAGGCTTCGGGGGGACCTTATTGCAGCCCTTCAGTACTGGAAGGGAGCCTATAAGAAGGATGGGAACAGACTTTTATAGCAGGACCTGTTGCGACAGGACAAGGGATAATGGTTTTAAACTAAAAGAGGGTAGATTCAGACTACATATAAGGAAGAAATTTTTTATGATGAGGGTGGTATAAGCCTGGAACAGGTTGCCCAGAGAGGTGGTAGATGCCCCATCCCTGGAAACATTCGAGCTCGGGTCGGACCGGGCTCTGAGCAACCTGAGCTAGTTGAAGATGTCCCTGCCCATGGCAGGGGGGGTGGACTAGATGACCTTTAAAGGCAAACCAAACTGTTCTATGATTCTATGATTTTTAGCAGCGCTTCAGCTCTGCTGGTCTCTGGCCACGGTCCTTACTGTGCCGAGGCTGCCACCCCAAGTCCTTGGTGGGACCCAGGTGCCCTCCACCATCCCAGGGAAAGGTGGACAGGGATAAGCATGGGGTTACCCTTCCCAACCCTGTGCTCCCTCTGCACCACATCAGCTCCTAGCCCTTCCTATGCTGCAGCTGTCAGCAGCCTTTAACCTTCCAATCTTTGCTGCATCTGGAATAGAAGCCCTGTAAATACATTGTCAGGGACCGGCTTGATGTGCTGTGTGTGCTTAGTGGGGATTACGAGGAGGGTGAAGTTCAGGGATGGGGGTTCCTGGCTTTTACCACAACAGAAACTGTATACTCACAATGACGGTTTTAGCACACTTTGGCTGGCACCCGATCTGGATGGTGTACGTTCTCATGTTGTTTTCCGAGAGGATGCAATATTTCTTCTCCCCTGCCTGAACACAGATTGGAGAAATGACTCCACTTCTGAGTAATATTGATCAGCTACTTTGAAATGTTTTAAAAAATGGGACATTAACTTTATGCATGCTGTGCACTGACTCAGACATTCACAATGAAAATGAAGGAAATACTTTTAGAAATAAAAATGCATTAGCTAAATGATTTTTTGCTAGCGAACATATGATCAATTTAACTCAGTGCCCCATGGCATTTTAAAGATGTGTCTAATACTGCCTGTGTTCAGAATTGAGCAGAATTTTATTCTGAAGCTTGACAAAAGTTTCTTTTTTTTTTTATGACACATTTCCTGTTTTTCCTAATTCTTCTTGGAAAACTGAGAGCCAAAGTTCTGCAAAAACAGCTGTTGAAACTTCATCTTCCAGGTCTGGACACAGTTGGGAAAGGTTGCTTGCAGAAGAAGACTTGCCAGTCTCATTGTACGCTTGTTAGGAGATTGAGATAAGCATCATCCAGCTCCTTGTTGTCAAGGAGATGTTAATGGTTTTGAGTTTTACTCATGAGCCCTTCAGCCAGTTACTTTAATTGGGTGGATGGGACTTGATCTGCTTTGGAATCCTATTACTAGCATAATTAATTAAAAAATTATAAAGGAAAATATGCTTATATAATCCCAACAGAGGGGCTTTCCCAGAGAAATTTAGATGCCAAGAAACTCTAGGTCTTATTGTGGTTGACAGGGACCTGCTAAATACCTGCAGTTCTCATGCATTGGACTTGGGCACCCAAAGTCTCTATAGTCTCCAAGTCTCCCTGTGACTATAACTCACAGCATATTGTTGGGGACAGATTGAGTTTGCCGTTCTGTATGTTTCTGATTTGAAGGGCTAAAAGGTGCTTCTGTAATTCCTCCTGTAGCAAGCATACTCCAGACCATGTTCAACTCCCTCAGTTTTGCATGATAGAGGTAACCTTTGCAGTTTGAGGAGTCCTCAGTTGTCCTAACGCATACTAGAAACTGGTCTTTCAAGATAAAACTATCTTCAAACTGCCCTTGATTCTGCTACCTTATTCTCAGGGTGGATTGAGTCTATTGACTGTAAGCAATGTATGTAGCGGGCTGAAGTAACTATGGTAACTTTTGTTGAAACTGAGACAATTATATTAAAAACAGGATTGAATGCATCTATGCTCAGTTTTGATTAAAAAAAAAAATTAGCATTGATGATAAAATACTTACTATTTCTTTTGTTCCTGGGGGACAACTTGATGGCTGCAAACAAATTCTGCACTTTTCCTTAAGCAACACAAATGGGAGGTAGTTAACAGACTGTATAGAGCTGCAGGCAGGTTGTTTAACAGAAAATGCATAATTTCCAGCTATATTTCTAAACCTAGCTGTCAGGGTGCTTAGTCAGGATAATCCCTTTGGTAAAGGTGGTGAGGGTAGCTGGACTGCTCAGCAAGGAAGAACATCCCTACCAGTCAGTCTATAGGGACACCCCATGGGAAGCTTTCCCCCATGGGGAAGGAGAAGGAAAGCTCTTTTGGATATTTCGCTTTGCTCTTCTAAAGCAATGCTTCCCAAAGGCCTCCCTATCGAAAGCACAATAAAAGGCAAGTCCTGAGCTTGGACATAGTTTGCCTGTGGCACAAGGACAGTAGCAGCTTGGAAATGGGAAACTCATATGATGTATATGTCCTATGCTATATGTGTGTGTGACTCATTTGCACATGTAAGGTCAGTTTCTGCAAAATGCTTAGGTACATGTTGTACCTCATATACGATGCTTAATATTATTCCTGTTTAGCTAACTATGTGCTTAGTTTTAGTAAGGCTTAAATGAATGTTTAAGTATGTTGCTGCATTTGAACATAGCAGGGAAAATAATTTTCCATGGGAAAAGGACTATGTGCGAAGCCTAGTTAGTGCCTGACAGAGCAAAGCTGGAGGAGTGAAATACACTCAAATATGGGACTGTATCCCAAGGAAAAGAATTCAGCTGCCAAAGTTCATGCCTGTTAAATTTGCTTTAACTGAAGCACAAGTCTCATTTTGTCTTCCTTGTCTAGTTTGTTGCACGCTCCATAAAAAAGGGAGGTAGCTGCCTGTTCGCTGTCCTATTTGACTCACTCAGGAGAAAAGACAAAGGGAACCTTTCTCTGCCAGTTTGAGGAAACTGCATCCTGTTCTTTAAAGGAATGTAAATCTATTTGTATTTCATATGTAAAAGGAACAAAAGAGGGAGAATGCTTTACTCAGAGGGCACAAGGAATTAATGTGTATGTGCAGCGGTAATCTACACCTGGAATGAAAAGAAACATTTTTCCTTACTAAAAATACTTCATTTTCCATTTTTTTTTCCCACTTGTTTACTTTATAAACTTGTGGCCTGGCTAAGAAGATGTATTAGAATAGTCCGTTACTATTATTTCCTGAAAATTAAAGCTCAGGAATTGCTTATTCCTGTGCTACTCTAATACTTTATCTAGGCTGTCAATACACTTATTGTAGGATCAAAGCAGTCTTAATAGATGTGAAAACTCTGGTAGGAATATCCTTTGTGGAAAATGCATGCATTCCTTACTGGGAAATACAGTGTCACGTATCCTGTACATTTTAGCTGTGTTTGGCTATAGATCTCTCTGAAGGGCCTTTAAACATCTCTAGTGCAGAACTACTTACGGTGATCACGGTATCATTGATATCACATCTATTCTTCTGGATTTCCAGGACTTTTCCCAAACCATGAATAATTCCTTTGTCTGTTGCAACATTTGTATAGCTTATAGGCACATCATTTATGAATAGCTGCAAAAGAAATGCAATCAGTTAGAAAGCAGGAGAGCTGTTTAGTAGCTTTACGGTAATGGGTGAAGGAAGGAGCAATGTACAAGCCTCGCTTCAGGAAAACTGAAGAACGTCGTTAACTTCAAGCACTTGCTCGCATCCCCGTTTTGCTGCATTTAAGAGCCTCACCGCACTGGAGGGCATGAGATGATGTGCAGCCTGTTGAAGTTTCTTAGCAATGGGATTTGGCAGAGCGGCTTTTTCCACCATGGGGTGTAAAGGTTTTGAAGAAGGAGCCTAAAGCAAGCCAAGAGCTGGGTTTGCTGTCTCTGGGGGATGACAGGCTTCAGGGAAGACCTCCCAGCAGCTGCTCCTTCAAGGAGGACTTCCGTCATCTCACTGCTACCCCACACTTCTATCGTGCCTGCACCAGCAACAGCCCCACAAGCAGACGTTTCTTCCAAGGCTCTGCTGTGGGCAGAGCAAACAGCAGGGCTGAAACTGCTTTGGTGAGAAGATTTCTGTCCTTCTTTGCCTATGCCCGGAGGGAGCTCTGGGACAGAGAACAAGGAGGACCAAGTTCCCTTCCCGGCTGTGCCACAGAATTGCGTGTGTCGCTTAATCTTGCTGTGCCTGATTTTCCCATGAGTGGTGTTGAAATGCAATTCATATTTGTTGCCAAGTGCTTTGAGCTCTTAGAATTGAAAGTGGAGTAAATCCACAGAAAATGGAATTAACGTTTTATCATTTTCTAATAGCTCTTGGAAGTCAGAGTAATGACTGCTTTGCACTGCAGGCTTGTAGCTGCTAGACATGCACGTCCACCACAGTAGCTTCTAAAATGCAATGCTAAATGGGAACAGCATAACTGAAATCAAATTGAATCAAAGATCCCTTTAAGAATGACTTTGAATTAAGCAGGTCTGAGAGAGACATTGCATTTGAGTGACATCTTTTGTGCTATTAAGTCCCAGAAGCTGATGTGGGGTGCACAGCTCTTTTTGACTGCATGTTAGTTTAAAGTTGAAGCTGCATTCGTAAAAAGCAGGAAAGCTGTTTCTCTGAGCAAGTGACAGCAGTACCTGGCCGTTGTGGAGGAAGAACCCAACCTGGTAGGAGAATCCCAGCATGGTCTCCCTGTGCATGCCGTTGTGCAGGTTGTTCTTCAGGAGCTTCTCATCCAGCACAACGTGATAGCGGATTTGGCCTTCATCCTGCAAACACACGATTAAATTCAGAGTTATGTAACAAAGCATGGAAAGTTCTTTGGGATCACTTTTCCCACAAGGTATAAGCCAAACACAGATTGCCTGAATTTAAGGAGAAGCTTCTCCAGCTGGCAGGTTATTTTGTATTTCTTACTGTGGAATGTCTACATTCCTGTCATAATGAAACTTTTATTGACCATGGGGAATAGAAGGCTGTTGAACTGGCGGGACCAAGGTTTGCTTGTGCCTGTAGTGTCTCTTTCTGTGTACAGGGCTGGCTGACAGGTTCAGGGAAAAGTTAGATGATTTTTTAGGACTCTCAACTTCATGAGTTCATTTGACATCAAAAGTTGCATATTCATGAATGCTTTTGTAATCTTCCCCATACCATTCCTTCTTCCTTTGGGAATCCCTGAATAACTTATAGATGTATGTTTACAGCAATTTATAGATTGTGGTTTTTTTTTTTTTTAAAAAAAATCTTTAAGGTCATCTTCAGTCAATAAAGTGCTAGAGCCACACTTGTTAATTGGAAAGTTTTCTATGCGTTATTGCTAGGGTGTATTCATTTTTCACGGATGTGGTGAAATTATTCTCTGTACATCAAAATTTTGTGAGGGCTTCCTAAGGCTTCTGCATCTTGTTCCGAAGCAGGGGACTCCCAGTGCTCTCCGTGACTTGGAGGAGGAAGCAGAAGGGGGATGTGTTTGTGAGATATTTGTAGATGTGAGAGAAGCTGGGGCATTTGGAGGGCTTAGGAGCTGCTTAGCGAACAGATATAGTGCCGTTGCAGCTGTATGTCATTGCAATAAAAGGTGCTTGTGGGAAATCCCGTTGCCTGCTGTCCCCTTGTTCCGAACATACTGCTCCTTGCTCTTCAGCTCCTTCAAAAGTGTGTGAAAGCATGAAACAACCCCAGGCTGCAAGATTTGTGATGTTGCCTGGCTTTGCCTGCAGGGTGAAATAGTGGTTTTTACATCTCGTGGGGTGGGACTCATTCAGCTTTGTTTTCCACAGATTTGACAAAGAGATATTTGCAGGCAAGAAGGTGGAAATTAAGACAGCTAATCTACTAAGGCATAGGCCTCCATCAATGTCCAGACCTATTTAATCCTCCTGACTTGGATGCTTTGGAGGAAAAGTTAACTCTCATGCATCTCCATTTCTGTCTTTAATCACCAGCAGAGTGAGAACAAAATCTTGCTTCCAGCGAGGCCAAGAAATGGGGTCTCTCCCCTGCGCGGAGCTCTTCCTTCGCAGCAGAGTTCTTCCGAGGTGTTTCGTGAAGAGAATAAGGCTTAGGCAGGCTTAACCTTATGGCTGTTTTCTGATTTTCTTTGTCAGATTGCCACATGTCAAGGTTGGGAGGATGGAAGAAAGACAGAAGAAACGTATCGGTAAGTAGTGGAAATGAAAAGGATTTCTGTGCGTGTGTAACCCGAATCCAACAGGATTGATGTCTTAAAGCTACCTATGCGTCCCTCAAAGTTTGTTATAAATGCTTCTTACAGTCATGCGGAAATGATGATGTTGTGTCATGAAACTAACTAAAATAGTCTTCAAAAGTCATTTGAGCAGACGCAGCTTGATCACGTGTGCATTCTTCCAGTGAGGCAGCAAGCGGGACTTTTGCCGTGAGTCTGCTGGTTGGTGGTAAATGTTTTGGGACATTTGAACCTTGTGCTCCTCAGCTTCCTGGCTGTAAATGGAGACCATGAAAGTAGGGACAGAGTGCAGCAGGGTAAATATTTATGGAAGAGGCAGGGAAGTATTAATGTCATTGAGCAAGTCATGGGTGAAACTTCCTCTGCAAGGTGTGGCTTTCGATACACACGTTCGATAAAACTGTTTCAAACTGGAGCAAATGTGAAGAAAGGCGCTGGGATGACGCAGGATAGTTTATCTTGGGAGGAGACAGACAGGATTGAGAAGGCTGTTTGGCCTTGTAAATACGTCAGGGCAAAAATGCCAGAGAGAGAAAGTTGTTTCAGCTAAAGCATATTCCTGGCGTAAGAATAAAGCAATATAAACTGGCCAGAGGTGTTCTGTCAAAGTAATATAAACTAGCTCAGGGCATGAGGACTGAGGTCGGCAGGGGAGGTGGGATGGACACGTCCGCGCTGGTGGGAGGAGCTGATGGCCAGGTCAGGCATGAGCCTGGTGTGGGGCTCCTGAGAGCGGGCAGCACCAATGGCGTTTGCCCAAGGAAATTTTTCTAGCCAGGAAAGTTTCAGAAATTTTTCTGAGCCCTGGGACTGGCCAACTGGGATTCGAAATGGTCTGCGGAAAGTGGCTGGGCAAACAGGAGCAACAGGGCAAGCATCTGGATAGTTTTAAGGAACAGTGAGAATATTTTGTGACATTATTAATGATGGGGTTGCCAGTGATGACGGGGGACTGGACTTGTTCACTGAGGAAACTCATTTCAGTGTTATTCTTGGTCATTCCTGTACTGATCATTTTTGCAAAAAAAAAAAAAAGTTTACTGATGAAATGTCTTAGATATTATCAGCATGGTTTTAATCTAGAGGACAAAACCCAGAACAAATAGCTAGGGTCTTCTAGCAAGCCAGGAAAATATAGGTGGATCCATCCCTCCTCACCTCTTCTGGTGTTAAAAACAAAACCAAACTTACTGGATTTCTGGAAAACAAATTCCTCTTCCTATTTCTGTGTCCTCTAAATCTATCCACTTGAAACTGAGATGTGATACTGAGTTGTTAAGACAAGTCTTGTGAGTAATACATACCAGAGTAGCAGACTTTTTATCCCTTAGGTAATTTTCTATGGCATCATTATTTGGGGCAAAGACTGTGTATGTATGTGCAGCTTCTATTTCATTTGCCAGGCTGTATTGCTGTCGTGAAACACATAAAAACAAATCAGAATGACCACTGACAGTCTGATACCAGTTCAAATGCAAACAAAGCAGAGAACTGCTTCTATTCTTAAAAGGACGTGAAAACTTACAATAACGTAGCCCCTGAAAATGGAGTAATCGGGCATTTGCTCTAGGCGGGCCAGCAGCCTCGGCATGACGGTGCTGCGGAGCGGGGTCAGAACCTGAAAAGGGAGCAGATATCCCACATCAGCGCATGTGCACGTGCTGTGGTAGCAGCTGCAAGGATGAGATGCAGGAGAAAATGCTGTTCTGCACAAATACTCTTTTCCAAGGGTTCTTAATTATTTTCCAGTGCTTGTGGTGCAGAGGAACAAATCCTCCCTATGCGGCCGTATACCTTATCAATAACATGTATGATCCCGTTTGTGGATGCGATGTCACCAGCCACGATGTGAGCGCCCTCCAGGGTGAGGTTCTGAAAGAGGGAAAGGAGAAAGGGTTTGCTTTTGCATCGCGGTGGCAGTGTTTTCCTGGTGGTTCGTGCTGTGGATTTCCACACCTTCCCAAACGCTTGCCTAGAGCTCCACCACGGCTCCGCTCCTGCCAGCGTGCATCCGCCCTCAGGGAACTGTGCGCAGGAGAGGTGACTTTGGGACTTGGTGCTGCTCCCCGCACGCAGGCCGGCAAAGCCATGGGGCGGTTACTCGGGGTAGGTGCGCTCACCCCCACCCCACGGCAGGACGAGCTCCCGTGCCGACTCACATGCTCCCGTGCCTGTGCAGCTTTGAAGGACCCCATTCGTGATTCTTCCCTCGGGGAAGGGAGGGAAAGGGCACTTTTCCCTCCCTTAATGGGGATGAAGTGCTTAAATGTGCCCCACGGATTCCCAGAAAACCCTCCTCAGAACACGGAGTACTAAATAAAAGGGCTGAGGAGGAAGGGCTGTAAGTTATGGTTATTTACCATTAAAAATACCGTCGGGTGGTTTGGGACTATCAAGTTGCACATGTGGCCACGTGCATGGTATCACTGCTTCCTCCTACCTTCCCAGTTCCCTAAAATAAGTTATTGGGTTTCCTTGATGCTCTTTGTCTTAAAATAGTTCACACAGGCTGCTCCAGGCAGGGTTTGCGCTTCCGTTTGACTACGAGACTGTCCAGCGTTTGCAGCAGCTACTGGGACATTAGGAATAAATAATACTGTGGATAAATTTCAGCTAGGTAAAGTCGTGGAGAAAAGCGAGTTAATGTTTCTCTCAGAGGGCCCAATATAATTGATCTATTACTTTAATTTTATGACATGGTCTCTTTTTTTTAAATACAGGTACATAATGTCTGTGTGGTTTTGTAATACAAGAAGGCCAGTGGCAGTGATGGTCAGGGTTTGGTGTATGATAGCACAGCGGTTTGCAGGTCATCTCACCCCATTTTCTTTAGACAAGTGTAGGAAGTTGCTCTGTAGAGATGTTGGCAGCATGTCAGAGGACGATAAATTCTGGAAATCAGCAAAGCTGTAAGCTCCTGTCAATACATGATACCTAAAGGAAATTAACTGGATTTGAAGGTTTTGTATTTTCTCTTTTTTTTTTTTTTTTCCCCCCCCCCCGGATAAATATGCTTAGTCTGTCTAAAACTGTGGTTTAAAGCAGGAATTGTTTGTACAATACCTAGTTCAGCTATTTTTTGATCTTAGCTTGGCCTTTAAACATTTCTGACATCATACAAATAACATCTTTGTTTTCAGTGGAGTTGCTACAGAGATTTATACCACTGTAACTAGAAGGGGAATCCTATGTCCCTCCCTTAAAAATGTAAGACCTGTCTTGCTTCAGAGGCTTCAGACCAAAGTCTTGCTTGGAATGGAAAGCAATTCATTAAAAAAAAACCCCAAACCCAAAACCATTAACATACTTCAGTAGAGTTGGGATGTTACTCTTTGACATCCAAAAGGCTTTTTCATCTTCATCCATGTTTTCAATTGCTTGAAGAGAAGGCACGAGGACAGTTAGGTTTGAGGTGGTGGACAACACCGAGTTTATCTCAGCCTCCTGCATGAAAATAAAGAGCGTAAAATAATTCATCCTGAGGACAATCTATAAATAGCAGCCGGTGACTTTTTAGCAAGGTGGAGTATGTGACGTACTTTGTGACCGGCCTGGAGAGGGATAACTATTATACTGAGCAATGACTTGAACAAAAGTACTTAGAGCTGTACAAAAATGGTAAATGAGTGTCTATTTTTACAGAATAGATTGCCAGCATTTAAAGGGCAGAAGCAATGTTTAGGTCAGACTTTCTTTTTGTTATGAAACACATAAGTTGCCTCCCACAAAAGTTAGTCTGTCTCATGGATTCCATTTTATGCACTTGAATGTTAAAAAAAAAAAATCATGGTGATAAATACTAGTGGTTACTGATAACTTCGAGTGACCTGCTCTTACAGAGCACTCCACACTATTTAATAGATAGAAGGATTGTGAACCATGAAATAAGAAACCCATATGACACAATGTTCCCATCTGGAATAAGACTATTTAACACGGCTGAGATTTTTCAAGATGTCCAAGGGATATCTGTGCCCACTAGCACTGCAGTGGGGCTTGCTGCTGACAGCTCTAATTTTAGACGGGGGATGTGGGCTCTGTAGAATGCATGGACTGATTCACCTTCCATATGTTTGTATCTGCCTTAAGGTTGGAGAGAGCCTCCACTGGAGAGGATTTTTCTAGTTGAATGGATTTTTTTGTGGGGTAGAAAAAGGAGAGCTAAAGATTTGAATGTGATCTTGATGAAGGTGTGGTTCTGCAAACTTTTCACAGGCTCCACAACTTGCCATTTTTGATACTGCAAAACTTGAGGGAGCAATATGAGCTTGGGTTCTGCCTTTTTGCAGCTGGTATGCTGCCTGGAAGCTGGCTTGTTTTGGATAGTCCTTCAATACCCATACTGGGTTTTAAGTCAAGAAGGGAGTCGGCTCCCTTAAATAGCTGGGAATTTTGTCTCTGTTAAGATCATCTTTCTTTTTAGCCATCATCACTGTCACCTTCCAAATATTTAAATATAGAAATAGCAACAGACTTCCCTTTCTCATCCTTCCTGGACAGGAAGAAAAATATTTGGTTATGAAA